GGACCTTTCAGCTCTACTTTTGATTCTACTTGAGTCCCTTCCCTCTTTTTATACTCCAGTGAATTAAGGAGGTGTCTGCTTTCAAACATGATCCCAAAATTCTAAAGTCAAAAAATGTTTCACTCCTTCTGCCTGACCTTCTACATAGCCCCAACCTCCATATCCTCTTACAAAACAGAATCAGGGAGTAAATTCCTTTTTCCCAGTGGCCAAAGACTCCAGTATCTTGCAATAAAACTGATGGAAAGCACAATTAAAACCGGGGGGGGGGGGGGGACCAGGCAAAAATATCCTTGTAAGTAAACAGGTAAGCATTCATAGTCCAAGCTACTGATACCTTCCCTAACATCAGGAACCGAATTTAGAAAACTATTTGTAAGCTGGTCATTTGGAGGAAATGCTTCTCTACCCCACAAGCCTCTTAAAGCAGGGCTTTTCAACCTTTTCACCCGTTGTACCACTTTTAGGATATGGCAACATCCGAGTACCACCAGTCGCCTAGCAAGGTGTCAAAAACTTGATGACCCCCCCCAAAAAAGTGATAAAGTACAGGTAGTCCTCGACTTACAACAGTGCACTTAGTGACTGTTTGAAGTTACAATGGCACTGAAAAAAGTGCTCCCCAAGCCACAGCCGAGCAAGACACCTGCCTGCCCGCCCGGCGGCGCTCTTCCTCCTGTCCGAGGTTTCCATTGTTGTGAGCATTTCTGTTGAGGATTGGCAGCAGGGGTGGGATGGGGGGTGTTTGGTTTTTATTCCCCCCTCCTCTGCTGGGTGGTTGCAGCAGGTTTCGGTCACTTCACATGACCCTGGGACACTGTGACCATCATAAATATGAATCAGTTGCCAAGCATCTGAATGTAAATCACAAGACCCTGGAGATGCTGCAACATTCCAGCTGATCGGCTCTTCTTCTGGGCTCAGCAGAAGCGCCAGGATCAGCACCGAGCTCCAGCTGGAGCCTGGTGCTGATCCTGGCGCTTCCGCTGAGCCCTGACAGCCCTGCAGCTCCAGCCATCTCTCGCTCAGGCTTGTGCGGTGCTGCCACCGGTTCAGCTCATTCCCCTCCCCCGCTACTTTTCTAGGATGGTGACGTACCACCTGCCAGGTGCCAATGTACCACGGGTGGTACCCGTACCACTGGTTGAAAAGCCCTGTCTTAAAGGATAAGGGAGAACTTACGAATTGCGTTAAAAACTTCAGCCCCAAACAGTCCCTCTTGCTGTTTCTTGGCTCGCAAGCCTCCAGTAAGCTTTTCTCCAGCCAGTTCTGGGCTTCAGCAGACTGGGAAGGTGTTTCCAGCCACTAGTCTTGACAATCCGGCTGGATAGCCTGGCTTAACCCAGCTGGTCTCCTCCCATCTCCTTTGCTCTCAGGGAATGGAGAGGGGTGGGGTGAGACAAGATTCCCAACTTTTGTGTGTGTGTGTGTGTGTGACACCTCCTAGATGTTGTTTGCCGTCAGAGATCCAAAGGTGTTTTTTTCAAGAGGCAACTGGACTTTCTTGTTTTTCCGTTGAAGACGTTTCGCTTCTCATCCAAGAAGCTTCTTCATCTCTGACTGGATGGTGGGGAATGGCAGGATTTATGCTCCTTGAAGTCATCTGGTCATTAGTACTCTTTCTGAGAGTGGTTGAGGACACTTAGAGTTGTCTGTGCCCTCAGGGTCACCTGAATAGTGCAAATGGGTGTGGCACTTTCTTGGAACTACTGCAAGAGCTGTGTTGTAAACAGGAGACAGGTGGTGTCGTATTCCCTCCCCCTCTGTTGAGAGAGGGGGGTTCAGTTTTAGTGTAGATGGCCTCTTTGATCCCTCTTTCAAACCAATGATCCTCTCTTTCCACTGTCCTCAAAAGAGGGACCTTTGTCTTGCAAATGCACATTTCAAATTAAATATCGGTAACCTATTTAAAGCACTGCTAAGAAGCAGACTCAGCCCCTTCTGAATTCGCTTTGTTTTATGAATGTAAGGAAAGAGAAGTGGAAAAAATATTTGGAACTCTGATTTTATATATGGTGACGGCAGCAAGATTGCTCTAGGGCACAAAAGTGGAAGGGCGCCTCGATTCCCACCACGGGCGAAGGGTTA